GTTCCGACAACACTTGTTCCCAAGGGTTTGATTATTACGCCAGATTTCCAATTATTTCCAATGTTTTTCTTACAGGAACACACATTAAAAAAGTTACTGGCGAGTTTCTGATGTGCATCCATGATATATATATATATATATATATATATATATATATATATATATATATATATATATATATATATATATATATATATATATATTTATTTTTCTTTAAAAAAGCGAGAATCTCATGCGACAAGACAGAACAGTATTGCTGCTTCAGGATATTTCAGACATATGGACACGTTTAAAAATTAAGTGAAGCAAAGCCACACCACACACCAAGGTTATTATAGTTAACGAAAACTAACGACAAAACGAAAACTAAAATGTGAAATAATTCTCGTTAACTGAAATAAAAATAAAAACGAGAGTTTTTTCAAAAACTAGAACTAACTGAAACTGTATTGTGTACATACAAAAACTAAAACTAACTGAAACTGTATGTGTACATGCAAAACTAACTGAAACTAACTAGAATTATAGCAAAAACCTTCTTCATTTTCGTATTCGTAAATGTATTTAATAAATAATCTTACTGTAAGCATTTTAGAAGTAAATATAATCCGCGCTGCAGGTATTTGTGTTTGACCCTTTCGGACCTCAGAGTCTCCTTCCGCCATTGGGCAGATCGAGCCGGTTCTCCTCGAGTCATCTTCTCTGTTGCTCCCGCAGCAAAAACAAGTGGACATGACAGCAGCACGGTGATAGCATTAAATACAGAGACTTAAAACTATTACTTTAACACATTTGTGCCCAATAATGGGTTTCATTTCTGTAGCGCAATCGCGAACGAATCTTTGTAACCGGATCTTCTAAGTGAACCGGTTGAACAAGTTCACCAAATCGAACTGAATCATTTGAAACGATTCGCGTCTCCAGTAAGCATTCACCCACTTCTTACGTAATAACAAGCCTAATACCCCCTCTGACTCTTAGATAATCCAATATATACTCTCAAGCAGTTATTAGAACAGTAACGTTACATTGAGAGTTGGTGAACCGATAATACTGCGCATGCGTGATTCAGTGAACCAAACACAAACGGTACAGCCTGCTGTATGACTGAACTGAACTTAAAACAACTGCAGCGCGGGTGAACCGAGGGCTTAAATGAGAGGATCTGGAGAAAAAACGTAAGTTTATTTCATAACAGTCAATCGTGATGAAATTTAAATAAGTGAAGCATGATTCAGTTGGGTTTACAGTTAGTAAAACTTTACTGTAAGACATTTTTCAGATAATGATGATGTTTTAACTGACTGAAATTACTATTGCCGACTAACTTACATAATGTTGAGCCCTAACATCTGCGTTAGAAATCTGAATTTCCCATCACCAGGCCCGGATTAATAAATCAGAGGCCCCTGGGCACAATGTCTTGTAGGCCCCCTATAACCGCACCCCATAGTTTAATTAAAAATAATATAGATATAATATTTGTTAAATAAAATTAATCTATAATGTATTGCCCACATTTGTTTAAATAGATGATATACAGTACATATATTTGTAGTCTACAGAGATTTAACTTATTTTTAAAGCATTTAAGCACACTTTAAATTTTTTTTTAATTCAACTAAGGGAAGTTAATAGATTTTAATATACTTGTTCAAGTTCACTGAAGCAGCACTAAAATTTATATTAAAGGGTATTTTTAATGTATAACTTTTACAAACTTATAATGCATATGATTTGGATAACACCTCTCCAATCCAGTTCTAGGAATCTGAGTCCTCCATAATACACACACTTATTATTATTCCTACTTGTCTTCCTCGTGATGGAGAGTATGTGCCCATAATGCCCATTGGTTAATCCGGCCCTGCCCATCACTACGTCTAACCTCACAAGCAGCTTTGCACACATATTGTATTTAGGGCTGCTTTCTTGTGGGCTGTTGTATTTGAATTTGAGGATGGGTAGATGGTTGTGGTAGATGATAGTGTTCATGTGTCCTCTGAATACATGTTTCAAAAAATGTATGACTGCGTTTTTAATTATAAAATATTTATCCTGTTGATTTTCAATCTTGTTCCTAACAAATATCCTCATTTAGAAAAAAACCTAAAACTAATACTGAAACTAATAAAAACTAAACTAAAACTAAGACATTTTAAAATATAGAAACTAATAAAAACTAGTAAATCTGCCTCTAAAATTAATAAAAACTAACTGAATTTGAAAACAAAAAGTCAAAACGAAATAGAAACTAAAACTAAAGAAAAATCCAAAACTATTATAACCTTGCCACATACAACTTGATCTTCCATTGTTTAATGAATTTGATAAAAAGTGTGCAACATCTTCACGCTAGAAAGCATGTTTTATGTGGTAATGTAACTGATATGATATGATATGCTGCAACGGCGACCTTTGACGTTTTCACCACCTTCGGTGTGAATGCACAGTTATAGGAATGAATGTGATGTTCAATATGAGAAAGGTAAGAATGATCGCTATGGCCAATACAGTAGTTTCAGTGTTAAGGACATTTTGTGTTCAAATATTCATTTATTTATTCATTTCAGCTTAGTCCCTTTATTAATCTGGGGTCGCCACAGCGGAATGAACGCTTGTACAAATATTTGATAATGCTAATTAAATTTTTTCTCTCTCTTAGTTCCTCTCTGTTCAAAGCTCCATGGACTCGAGTGATGGTGTATGGATTCAGTCATAAAGTGCAGCGTAACGGCCAGCTGAACCTGATGGGGGCCGTGTGTTTCCCGCTGGACGCCTCTCTGTCCAACACCGGCCTCACTTCTCCACCCACAGCCAACCAGTATCCTAGCATCATCATCCCCACCGACAAAGTGCACGACAAATTGGGCACGTCACAATCTCTTACATACAGTGGGGGAAAGAAGTATTGAACACGTCACCATTTTTCTCAGAAATCATATTTCTAACGGTGCTGGAGACTTGAAATGTTCACTGCATGTCGGTAACAACTAAAGAAATCCATATATACAAAGAAAATATAACCAATTTGTTTATTCATTAAATGATGTGCAATAAAATTAAATAACGCAGGGAAAAATAATCGAACACATGAAGAAATTAGGTGTAAAAAGACTTGGAAAGCCCAGACAGCAGCTGAAATCTCTCAGTAGTTCTTTAGCAACCTTCTGCCCTTCCTCAGTGTAAATGAACATCAGCTGCTTCAGTCCAACATCTACATTAGCAGGAGGATAAAGATGAAACCAGGGTGGACATTTCAGCAAGACAATGATCCAAAACACAGCCAAGGAGACTCTTAAATAATTTCAGAGAAAGAAAACCAAGCTGTAGAATGGCCCAGCCAATCACCTGAACTGAATTCAATAAAAAACACAAAATAAAGCTCAGATTTAATAGACGAGACCCACAGAAGCACTAAAATTTTGAATCTCTGTTGAAGTCTATGAGAAACTCACACCTGAGCAACGCATGAGGCTTCAGTCTCCATGTGAGAGGCGTCTTTAAGCTGCGATCACCAAAAAATCTTTTTATATAAAGTATTAAATACGTCGGGCAAGGCAGTCACAGCAAGAAGGTCGCTGGGTCGCTGTTTCGAACCTCGGCTCGGTTGGCGTTTCTGTATGGAGTTTGCATGTTCTAAATGCAAACTTGCTGAATAAGTTGGCGATTCATTCCGCTGTGGCGACCCCGGATTAATAAAGGGACTAAGCTGACAAGAAAATGAATGAATTAAATACGTTTCAACAGTTCAGTACTTTCTCCTTGTGTCATTTCATTGTTATTACACAAAACTCATATTTTTTGGTTTTGTTTTATGTTTATGTTTGTATTGTTTGGGTTTTTAACAAAATCTGGTTCAATTCCATGTCAGCAGCTCTTATAGTAAAACATGGCGTGTTTAATACTTATTTTCCCCAGTGAACAATCAGATTCATTAAGACCATTCCTGCTGACTTTAGCTCATATCTATATTTCTGTCCACAGCCGTGTGTCCCCCCCTCCTGGAGCAGTGCTGGTGTTGCACTCGTTGCTTTTTGAGTGTCCATTGGCGATGGCCTTCGCTGAACAGCAGCTAACCTACAGTGTAGGAGAAACCATAGAGCGCTCTGAGGATGAGCTGGACACGGTGCCCACTTCTGTACTCATTCAGGTCGTGGAGCTGCTAGGTGAGTTATGCTTATTTACTTTGCTCTGAGTTTATACAACCAGGGGTGTATAAACTCAATCCTAGATGGCCGGTGTCCTGCAGAGTTTAGCTCCAACTTGCTTCAACACACCTGCCAGGAAGTTTCTAGAATGCTAGTTAGAGTGTGATTAACTGGTACCAATTCGGTACCAATCGATACTGAAGTTTTAAAACAACCCAGGCTCATTCTGAAAGCGTAGTCCCATGGACGTTTTTGGAGACCGCAAAATACATCCCGGGAGGTACTTATTTAGGCATTTTTGGTGTTCGCAAATCCACATGAGGCCGCTGTGTACACTTTTTTTAGATCTCAAATTTCTCGAGTAAGTTCTCCCGCTAGTGCCGTTTGCGTCCGCTGTCCACGCGTAAACCCACTGGAAGCCGCTTTCGACCGACCTACCCTCCTTCTTCCCTAAACCCAACCAATTTTTTGATTAAACCGCCCACTCACTTCCCTAAACCCAACCAATGATTTTCAAAAGCCTTCCAGAAAAAGAAAAGCCCTCGTCTGATTTTTACCATGTTTTTGGATTTTACCACATTCTCACCCTGTTATTCACTCCTTCATTTTATTTTTTGGATTCTGTTGTTGTCTTGCCTGATTTCTGGAACCGCTCCTCCCTGGACTCGAATCCCGCCGTCCTTGTCCTCGTCTGGCGTCTCAAGTCCGTTGATGTAAACGACGAGCTAACTGGACAAACTGGTTGCGGTGGGAAAGGCTTCCACAGTTAGCGTTCGTTTAAAAAAATTTAATGCAGTCATACCATACGTACCTCCGGCTACATAATTCGCGGTCTCCAGAAACGTCCACAGGACGATGTTTTCAGAACGAGCCTGTGATGCTGTTTAAAAACCTCCATTTCAGGCTAACATTTGAGCGCCATTGAGCGTGTTCTTAAACAGCGCTGATTTGCCATTGTGTTCACATGCTCAACAGAAATGACTGCAATTGGCCGTGAAGGTCGTCAGTTTATCGAACTCACTGCTATTTACTGAGTGTAACCACATATACAGGAACACAGTGTTTTAAAGTCACATCCATCAGCTGATTTGGATATAAGCTGACATATGAGCAATCTGCTGATGAATCACGGCTTTAAAACGCTCCAGTGTAACACAGATATCATATACAGTTATTTTAAACACTTTCTATGGTGCTTTATGAAAATTCAAAGGGTTTTCTTTAAAATGATACTACATTTTTGCATTTACACCTCTGCGTGTGGATTTTGGAAGCTTTTAAATTTGGGTAGGCAAAATCCAAGTGCAAATCCCAAAATAGCACTGGGGTTTAAGAGGTTAATGAAATCTTATTGCTAAGTGTGACCGATTAAATATTTAAAGGTGCAGTATGTAGTTTTTACCACTAGAGGGCATGCTTTCACAACAAACAAAGGTGTAGTCTGATGACTGTGTGACGGGTGCTTTCACACCTAGACTTTTGTTTCGGAACATGTCTCGTTTGCCCAGTTAGGGTGGTTTGTTTGGCATATGTGAATCCAGCAGTCGCGCTCGGATCCGTGCCAAAACAATCGGTCTGAGATCGCCTGATTGAGGTGGTCTCGACTCGATTTAATGAACTCTGGAGCGGATCCATTGTAGTAAGAAAGCGATACGATCCGAGCCCGGCTATATCACAGTGTTTTATGGATATGTAATAGGCATACGGCTATATAAAGACAGAATTATGAGTAGGGCGGGAGGTCATTCCAGACATCGCAAGTTTCCCGGAAGTCTCCCGCAAATGCACAGTGGACCCTCCCAGTCCACAAATACGTTGCGCACCCTTCTCAACCCTCCCCACCGAATTCCTCCTCGCTCTTTAGTCTTCATACACGTTGCGTGCACTCTGTCAAACACCACCAAACCCCCAGCCCCCCTGACAGCAGAGCAGGACTCTTCAAAATAAACCGTGAAACTCTGACCAATGTAAGGAGAGTTTACTCACACATGAGTTGTTTTAGCTCTTTTGGTCCGTTTAGAAACTTTGCCGTGTGAAAGTGAACCGCACCAAGAACAAAGAGCAACAGTGAAGCAATTTAATCCCTGTTTTCGGAACAAATGAATCTGTTCACAAGTGTGAAAGCACCCTGAGTGTGGAATCATGGGAGTTGTGGTCTTCATTATTCTACAGGACTTATGTTGATGAGTAAAGTTATTCAACACTATTAGTATTAACCATTCAGCACAGGAAAGCAGCAGAGCTTTTATTATGCCATAGTCCTATGCTTCTGGTTCTTTATCTTGTGATCACATGGAGAAGCAGCCCTTTTTTATCAGACTAAATACATGTTAAGCAGGTCGCACACCAGAAGCGCCACGCAGCGCCATGCATTTTAGAATTCTAAGCATAGGTTTCTATCAGGATACACACACCGGCGCTGCAAGTCGGCGGCTGTCGGCGGCGCCCGGCCACGGCTCAGGACGCAGTTCATTTTTCAGCCGCGCCACAGAGCGCCATCTGATTAGTTTCATGTTAAATATCATTCTAATGTGCGTGTCTGGTGTGTAATACTTTAAACTGTCATGTGCGCGCCGTGTCGCGGCGCTTCTGGTGTGCGACCTGCTTTAGGCTTCTGTTATAATGCTGCTATGTGCAGTTGAATAAAACACACAACATATTAAAGCCTCGCTGCTGTTTCCCTGTTTTCTAGAAAACCAAAGCAGAAATGTGTGTGATGACATTAGCATGAACACACAGCACACATTACATCTATCTCAAAGTCAATATTCTACAAAAAATTAGTTTGGATAATGTATGTACATAAGACAGCAAAATATAACACTGTCCTAGTGGTTTTTGCATATTTTAATGAAAAATCATACATATTGTGCCTTTAAGTTCATACTAGCATTCCTTATCATATAAAAATGCAACTTTTCTTATGAAATGCTGTATATAATAGCAGTTTGTGTGTGATTTTATCATGTACTGTAGATCATATGATAAATGTTGTTTCTCCAGAACTGTACTGAGTGAGAAAACAACCGTCCTCAAGCCAAAATCTCCAGAGAAGACCAAACCCGATGAAAAAGACCCTGAGAAATCTCCTGCCAAAAATCTTGAAGGTCATTAATTTTACTTTTCTGATTTCTGATTTTATGCGGAAATTATAAACACAAACCTCATATATGCTCATCTAAACGTAAAAGATGTTAAAGGGACAGTTAAATACTGAGAATTCCTCATCCGCCACTTGTTTAAAACCTGTTTGAGTTTTTTTCTTCTGTTCAGTCAGAATTATTAGCCCCCCTGTCTATTCTTTCCCCAATTTCTGTTTAACAGAGAGCAGATTTCTTCAACACATTTCTAAACATAATAGTTTTAATAACTCATTTCTAATAGCTGATCTATTTTATCTTTGCCATGATGACAGTAACTAATATGTGACTAGATATTTAACTAGGCAGGTTAGGGTAATTAGGCGAGTTATTGTATAACGATGGTTTGTTCTGTAGACTATCAAAAAATATATAGCTTAAAAGTGCTAATAATATTGACCTTAAAATGGTGTTTAAGAAAATTAAAAACTGATTTTCACCTGATCCTTTGATAGTCCTCTTTGGTGTATCCCTTGAACCTGATTTGACAGTGCGTGACAGCAAGGTTCTTGCCTTTACCACAATTCTAGCCAGACGTGCCATACTTTTAAAATGGACACACTTCTTCCCCTACACATGACAAGTGGATACAGGACATTTTTTACTGTATCAGACTTTGAATGCTGAGATGCTCATTGCTCACTCTCTGGCTCATTAGATTCCTTTTATAAGATTTGGGATTCCTTTCTTGACTACATCAAAGGCCTGCCTATTACACCTGGTGCTGGCAACCTGTAACATTAACCATTTTATCAGAAAGTTTTAATTAATTTTATTATTATCATTTTTTGTATTTATTTAAATGCATTATTATTGTTTTAATTATTTATCCCATCTGTATCCAGTTACTCTGATGTCATGTTCTAATGTATTTAATTTTCTTTTTTTGGTATTTATGTATTAATTCATTTGTTGAGTTAATGAACGAGAGGTTAGGGGGTGGGATTATTTATGGACAATACATTACTGTTTACCTCTCAATATTTAATTTTTATTGTCATGCAAAAGACCAATAAAAAACTGAAATAACTAAAAAAAAAAATCTTTTATTCTAGCCAAAATAAAAACAAAAAAAACTTTCTCCAGAAGAACAAATATTATCAGACATACTGTGAAAATTTCCTTGCTCTGTTAAACATCATTTAGGAAATATTTAAAAAAGAAAACAATAAATAAAAGAGGGCTTATGATTCTGACTTCAACTGTATATGTCCAATAATAATTTTCAGGAAGTCTCTCAATATCTAAATATACACTCCACTGCAAAGGCTAATAAAAACGTAAATATGACTAAAAATTAGACATGATTGTTGTCACACATAACTGGGCACATAACTACTGACATCTAAAGGTTGAACTGTGGTTTTGCAGGTGATTAAGTGTATTTCGAGCCTGAATTC